CGAGTGGTGAATTCCATTCAAGCGATTGCTCAACAATGATACGTAGAGTAGCGATCTGGTCCACACATGATCGGTTTTTGCGGAATCCTGCCTGGTTTCCTCGAAGCTTCTCATCCGTTGCCAGCTTGATTCTCTCAAGGAGTATCCTGTTGAAGACTTTCCCAGGTACATCAGCCTTTGCCACTCGCTATTTTGGCTCCTCCTTCTCCTCTTTCAGGGGGGAGACAGCGAGAAAGAGTTAAAAAGAGAAGGGGGGGGGGGGACACAGAGAAATATGAGAGACAAGGAACAAGGGAGGGAGAGAGGGGAAGAGAGGGAGAGAAAGAGAGGAGGGAAACAGAAAGAGAGAGGGGGTGGGGAAGAGAGAGAGAGAGAGGAAGAGAGAGAATGAGAGAGAGAGAATGATGGAGAGAGAGAGATTGAGAGAGGGGGGGCGTGAGACAATAATAAGACAGAGCATGAAATACTTGGCATTTTTTAGCAATTCAATCACACCTTAGCCTGCGCCACTTGGCGTTGTAGCTGTGCCACTCGCTGCTCCAGCTCCTCCTTCTCCTGTCTCAGCTGACCTAGCTGGCGGTCACGCGCGATGGCCTCTGCCACAGACCTCTGGGGCAACTTGACCGCCTCTGTAGTTTTATTATCCTTGAGGACAAAAAGCAGTCACTCAAATCAATAAGTAAACTATGAGTTTCTGTTTTAGTTTCAGTAAAGAGTTTTATGGCACTTGCAGCCCAAATAAGTCACAGAAGTGCCACAGATTAGTAGTAGTAGTAGTAGTAGTATAGGGTTTTACGGCGCTCGCAACTGCTAAGGTCATATGAGCGCGCAAAACACAAGTTGTTTACTTTCGCAAAAGTTCACTGCACGATTGGTTAACTAATTGACTTAAAAATGCTAAAATGTTAAAATATTAAAACTCAGTGTAAATATATTTGTGATTTAAAACAACTCTTATAAGTAACAATAAGAATTTTAAATAGTACGTTTTCATTTTACAATTTGCCATAAAGGCCAATGGCCTTCATAAAATTCAAAATTTTGCTGGGACCAACGACGGAAAAAATATCTTGCAATTTCTTGCATATATAATATTTCCTTCGGATCTCTCCAAAGTCTAGACATTCTGTTAAGATGTGTCTAATGGTAAAATCTGTGTCGCATCCGACACAGAACGGCTTCTCATCTCCCTGTAGGAGGTATTTGTGGGTCAGGGCCGTGAATCCGATGCGCAATCGAGTAAAAATGACTTCGTCTCTTCTGGAGAGGTCCGAAGGATTTCGCTGTTCTAGTTTGGGTTTTATTTCATATAGTTTATTATTTTTCTGCTTTTCCCAGTGGCTCTCCCACAGACTGGAGGGTGCCACAGATTAGAGGCATCGCTAGAAAGTAACATACAAAGAAAGGAAAGAGGAGAAATACGAAAAAGACGTTCTAAACGAAAGAAGGAGCCCGAGTACCATTCACAGTAAGTTTTGTTTGTTTGTTGCTGGGGTGGGGGGGGTTTTGGGGGGGGTGATTGACATTCAATACAATAGAAGGAGCAAACCACGCCAGAATGCCCGCATACCATCCACAGTAAATTATTGTTTGTTCGTTTCTTGTTGTGTTTTTTTTTTGGGGGGGGGGGGATTTCCAGTAAAAAGAAAATTACTCCATAACCGTAACCATTAATAATCTATATATCATCGCCTCAGAACTATTTTGTCCAAAGTGCCAATTTACTTTAAGTACACTGTTGACAAAATAGTTCTGACGCGACGATATATCAAGGTCTCTATGTTGAGGTGCTATTTTTAGCCTAAGGACACAAATGTCAAGCCCCTGATGGGGTTCGAGCCCATAACTTTTTGGTTGTGAGCCCAATAGCCTGACCACTTGACCACCAATGCCACACTGAGCCAAGTCACAATATCAACATGTAGTTAAATTTAATAATGAACCAACCTTGAGTTGTACCTCCAGTTTCTCTTTCTCTTCCTTCAAGAGCAGAGCTTTCTTTGCTTCTTTCTCCAGCTGTGTTATGAGGTCGCCCTCCATCTTCATCTGTTCTTCCAACTGAGGGCACAGAAAGATTTGACGTAAGCTCTCATACTTTTTTCTCTCCACTCTTTTATCACTAAAAACATGTGTGTGCACGCGTACGTGTGTTTGTGTGTGTGGGTATGTATGTGCACACAAGAGTGTGAGCGCATGTGTGTGTTTAGATTCTGATCAGAAAAGGGTCATTCTCAGAACCTAGAGAGACACTGCAAGAAAAGGACTGCCTAAATAAGTAACAATGCGCTCGCCTGATTCAAGTAATTTTATCTAACATGCCTAGCCAACCACCTCATCTATGCAGTATGGTGGGGGTTTTTTACTGTAATTTTCCAACTACTATGGCATGGATGAAGAGACAGAAACAGACCAAGAATAACTTCATTGAACTCTATCATAAGTGCCAGAATTTAAAAAGTAATCTGACATCAACCACTAAAGTAAAGTAAAGTTGTTCCCGTATCCGATCCAGACATTGGGGATTGCCTTGTTATTGAGACAACATCCTGGACCTCCAGCATATTGTGGTAGGGTGGCCAGTTCCTTTCCACGCCGCCTTTACTTCCCAACTCAAAGTCAGGTACCCATTACTGCTGGGTGGGCAGGAGGGGGCAAAAAAATATGAGTCCGAACCGAGGATCGAACCCGGACTTTCCGCTCCGAAGATGAGCGCACTAACCGCTCCAACACTGCAACCTCCATCCACTACTACTGTAAAAAACGGATATGCTATTACTAAAACGACCCACAATACCACTGCTATAACATTTCAGCATACCGCTACAGTGACAGTAAAAAAAAAAACATTGGCTACTGCAATAATTATCCAAAATTCCACTACAGTAACAATCAGACACATCATAACTGTAACAAACCCATATACCACTACTTTAGCACTCCAACATTTTACAACCATAACAAGCTGAGAGACCATACTCCAACACATCACTGCTGTATGATAGTATCTAGCAGCTGCGGTGTAACAGTTACGGTCTTTAACGCCCCACAGGGAAGACATGAGTTCGAATCCCATAAGGGGGATGTCTTTTATCGCGTGTCTCCAAATTACTTATTATCTCTACTACATATAATAGAATGTTACCGTGGATGCCACTAGGATTTTGTGAAAACATCTGAAAATTTAAGAAGTGAAGTTACAAAACAAAAAGAAAGCTAATAAACAAAACTGACATGGGTTTAATTAAACAGTAAACAAATGCATAGAATAGTAACTGTTCTTCTAGTGAAAATAATGGAAATAATGGTGAGAAAAAAGCGGGAAAAAACAGCATCCCTGTGTTGAGAAACAAACAGACTGGTGCCTATGATGTAGCGTTTAGGCACTTTGCTGTTGAACATAAGAGACCTGAGCTTGATTCCCAAGAGGAGAGAAACTTATTGAGTATCTCAATTTTTCTGCTGGGATGTTGTATCCCTCTCAGCCCGACGGCCCTGACAGGCAGGATCGGAAGCTCGTCTCCTAAACGTTTTAAATTGAGTTGATGGGAGAGAAAAACACCTATATTTAACCCTTCCAGCCCCAGCCATTTTTGTGCACTCCCTAAGCTCAGTCCCAGCCAATACAGCAGTATTTAAGAAAAAGAGGCGTGCATTCTAATAAATTATGCAGTATCTTTGTAAAATGATGTTTAGATGATAACATATAACAATGTTTAAAGGTAAATGAACAAATATAATAAAAATTAAAGTTTGATTAGGTGAGTTAAATTCAATAAACACACAAAATCCGGTACCCCCCGAAACTGAGAATATAAGCTCTTGGGATGGTGGGAGGCACAAGCGCTGCTGAAAATTTATGCGCATGGAAGAGTTAAAAAATAATGTAATTTTTAAAAAACAAAAACAAACAAGAAAAAGAAACAAATGGTGCGAACAAACCTGTGCTCTGAGTTCGGCCACGTTTGCTGTCTGTACCTCCAGGCGTGACTTCAGCTCGGCCACAGATTTCTTACTTTCCTCCAGCTCCCATTTGACAGCCTCGCCCTCATTCTCCAAGTTCTGATTTTTCTTCTTCATTTCCTCCAGCTCTGCAGCGTTCTAAAGTCATGTGTGAAATCAACAAAATGTTCAGGTTTTCTAATCTTAGTAATTTTAGTAGTAATTTCATGGCACTTGCAGCACAATCTGGTCATATATTTAGTCGCTTTTAAGCACAAGGGGGCTATCTCGAAAAATGCTGTTGTGAGAAAATCGAAGGTAAAGTTTTTGCCCCTTGCTCAGTTTCTTTAAAAGACAAAGAGAGTTTTCTCTATAACCAAACAAATACATGTATACACACCAGTGAAACCAAACTTCTCCTTTAGGTAGGGCAATGTTCATTTTTGGTGTAGGTCAAGATTTCTGGAAACCCCTGAAATCTGGGCTAGCCTGCTTGTCCATAAAAGCGACCATTTATGCAGAAGTGTCAAAGATTACAGATGCTGTAAAAGTGTAACAAACAAAGAAAAGGAGATAAGGATGACAGATGTTTGATTGGAAAGAAGGAGTTAACGATATGTTGTTGTTGTTGTTGTTATCGATCCAGCAACAGCTGGGCTCTCGCCCTTCTGTCCAATGCCATGTAGTGATAAGTGCAGGTCTGCAGCAGTTGCTGTAATGTTCCATAGAGTGTGTTGTCTATGTTAGGTCTCGGAGGGAGAAGGGTAGCTCTGATGTCATTTAGGGCTGTGCAGTGGAACAGGTGATGCTCCAGTCTCATATGCATAGTCACACAAGGGACACATTGGGGGAAGTTCCGGGTTTATTCTGTTCAGGTGGAAGTTGAGCTGTATATGTTCTGTTCGTAGGCGGAAGATCGTGGTCTGTTTCTTTCTCTGAAGGCGGTTGGTATTGTCATTCCTTTTTGTTGTGGTCATATGTTTGAAAACTGCTCTGCCTGTCTTTCCCAGGGCCCATCTGTTCATCCAATCTTGTTTGTTGTTGCTTTTAATGATTTGTTTTGCAGTGTTGTATGAAGTTGGAGTGTTGGGTTGTTCCTGTCTAGATCCCCGTTTGGCAAGTGTGTCTGCTCTGTCATTTCCAGGTATGTCTGAGTGTCCGGGGACCCACTGCATTACTAGGTTGATGCCACAGAATGTTATCAGATGATGGGATCCACACAGTATATGGGTCAAATCTTGGTTTAGATGATGGTCATTTTCTATGGCTTGTAATACTGATAGTGAGTCAGAGAAAATCACAATACTCTGTGCTTTTCCAGGATGAGTGTCAAAAACTGTGCGGAGATGGTACAGTGCTGTTTCAATTGCCATCATTTCTGCATCGTAGTTGCTGCATTTCTCTCCACAGGCTGCAGAGATCTCATTGGAACTTCCATCTGGGTACTGTATTAGTATTCCATATCCGGCTTTGGTTGTGCCTTTGAATGCTGAGCCGTCCGTATAGACGTCTATCCAGTCATCTGAATAGCTGTCGATTGTTTGATGTGATGCAAGCATCAGCGTCACTGGGTCTGAAGATTTTGTGCTCTTGTCTTTGAGAGATGTAATGATTGGCTTTTTTAAAGAAAGGTGGGGAGGGATGTTTTGGCTGACTCTTTTGGTTTCTTTTCTGTTTTGTGGTAGATGGTGGCTCTCCATTAGTTCTGTTATGTGATGCATGATTGACTTTTGTTGAATTCATTTCTTTGGTTTCCATGTTTCTACTAATTTCCTGTTTGGATGGTTGGGGCACATTCTTTTTGTTCTTTCATGTAGCTCCAAAACTGCTTTATCTCTGCAGATTCCCAGGGGTTCAATATTTGCAAGGATTTCGCACGCGGCGGTAGGTGTGGATCTCATGCCGCTATTTATAAAACGAAAGGCATTGTTTTGGACCTTGTCAAGGGTGTTGCAAGTAGTTGTACTGCACATAGTGAGTAGACTATTGCTGTATTCCAGGGAAGATCGGACATAACCCAGGTATAGAGTTCTCAGAGTTTGTTTGTCTGATCCCCATGAACTGCTTGCGAGTTTCTTTAAAAGTTGGAGTCTTTTTTTTGCCTTGTTCCTTATGTTCTCCACTTGGCTTTTCATGGTTAGCTTATGGTCAAGTTTGACTCCTAGGTAAGTTGGATGCTCTTCTTTGGGGAGACTTTCATTTCCTATCTTTAGTTTGAGATTTTCTTTGGCTGCTTTATGGCTCTTCGTGAAGATGGTGTATACTGTTTTCGTGCAGTTTATTTTAAGTTTCCATTTCTGACAGTAATTATGGAGCCTCTTGAGGTCTTCATTTAATTTCCCTGCTCCTACTATCGTGCTGCGATGTGTCTGCCAGAGAGCAAGATCATCGGCATAAAGAGTCTTTTCTGATTTCAGCACGTTCGTTACATCATTAACACAATGATATCAAAAGTTGAACTGATACAGAAAGAAATTCTGCACATCAAAGTCACACAGAGTAAACCTCAAACTGATATTTCATAATTTTTCCCACCCTTTCTCTTACATACAAAACTATATTATAACTTACATCTTCTTTGTCGTCTGCTATGCAAATTTTAAAAACACCCAAGAACAATATGTGACAATTTCAGCATATTTGCTCATTGGGGAGAAGGGCTAACTAAACCTTTTGCTTACACACAAAGGAAAATTAAATGAAATTGACAAATGTAATCATTATGTTTTCAAAATAGCTCCATATCCAGACACAAAAAGACAACCATCAGACACATACGACTAATGTGCAATTTCCCATTCATCCTTCACCCATAGTTCTTACAACTATCAGCATACCTTTTTCTCAGACCCAGCCTCACTTTCAAATGACTTTAGTTTCGTTTTCAATTCTGCAAGCTCTGCCTCCAGCTTTTGGCACTGCTCAGAAAGGGAGAGAACAATGATAAACACCATTACACATTTATCCTTTCACAAGCATAGAACCAGATAGAAGCACAGTAAAAAAATCCAGGTTGGCCCTGGAAAGCAGGGTCGAAGCAGCCCATCTCTTAAATATGATCGAAAGTAGTGGTTGTTAACCTTCTTGGAAGTACTTAAGCCTGCACGTTTCATAATTATATGCTTTCACTGAACCCTTCGAGTGATGTGAACAGAACAGAATGGACAGACAAATGAAGACACACACACACAAAAACACACCCACACAAACACAGTGTGCGCCTTGACCGCCGAACCCCTGAGACTGACTCACCAAACCCCTGAGGTTCAATCAAACTGAGGTTATGATAAGTTTTAGTAAGTGCTTTACGGCACTTGCAACACAATAAGGTCATATAAGTGCCCAAGATTAGAGGTGTTACAACAGAGTAACAAACACAAAAAAGAAAGATGATAGATGTTAGATAGGAAAGAAGGAGCAAACCATACCAGAGCACCCACCAACCACCCACCGAGGTTAAGAACAACTGACCGAAACTGTGTTGAAGGGGGAGTAAAGTGTTCCCAATTAAATGGAAAGCTTAAGAAATTAAAGACTATTTTTAAGTGAAATATTGTCAAAGCCTTTCTAAAATTCAGGAAAGTTTGGAATGGTAAAACCCTGATGCAATAACAACAAGGATGTAGAATTTATCCAGTCTATTTTACAAAACACCCTGATAGTGTTGTTTAGTTGTGTCACAGCCGATTTAATTTACCCGTAATTTAAGTCACTATTTTACTTCATCTGTCCCAGTTTTTTTCCACTATACATGTCAACTCCTTAAAAAATAAGCTCTGCTTCCCATGTACATTCTATTTTCTGAAAATATATAAGTTTATGGCCTTTACTTACTAGGTTTACCTGTCCTCAAACATTTTCCAACATGATATGGTGAAATAATATAACTAATTTCCCCTGACACAGGCTATAATTTGTTAGCAACATTTTGAGGGTTAATATCATCACACTTATTACCCATATTCCCAAAGTCCATTTAAAAGTTGTAAGAAAATCAGAGAAACAACTTTTATTCAATGCTTATTTTCATTCTTACTACAACATAAGTACTTTATTTTCAGTTACTATTATTGTGGCAAAATATGAACCTATCTACTAGAGGCTGAAAAATGATCTGAGGGTAATGGTACTGCTTTTCAGCACAAACAACTTTGAACAAACGTAATGATTGGGAGGAGGAGGAACAAAAGGAACTCTCAGCCAGCTGCCGCCATACCTTTTCGTCCCCATCTTGCCTGAAGCGAGCAGCCCCTCTCCACTCCGATGTCCTTCTGGGGCTCTGTTTCTCCAAACTCTCCACTCTCCTCTGAAGCTCGGACTTCTCTCTCTGCAGCCTCTCCACCAGACCAGAGCGCACATCGCTGCCGCTGATACGGGGGTTACGTTCCTTGCCTGCACGCTCAGACTCCAGCCTGTCCACAAGTTGTTTCAGACGATTTACTTCACAGCTTAGCCGCTGAACATCCGTGTTGTTGGAAGCAGCCGTGGATAACTGGAGTTTTCCAACACTACCCTCCAGTCTGTCCATCTCTTTGTTTAGTTTGGCCACCTGAACAAGACATAATAATAATAATAATAATAGATAGCATTTGTATAGCGCATATCCCCGCTCAACAGCAGGCTCTATGCGCTTTACACTATATTATTACCCCAGCAGACCATAGAACACTCCGAAACATTCTCAGCTTCCCGGGAAGCATACAGTGCGAGCAGCCGATTAAGCGCTCAAACACTAACAAACTGACAAGATCTTTCGCTGTCTATAGCCGGGTACCCATTCCCACCTGGGTGAAGTGAGGAAAATTCGTGAAAAGTGCCTTTCCCAAGGACACAACGTCGGGCCCTTGACGGGATTCGAACCCACGACCTTACGGTTGCGAGTCCGAGAGCCTAACCACTAGGCCACCGACGCCACATAAAACAGGTTAGCTGTTTAGATACACTACGGCCAAAGTTTTGAAACATTTTTGTACCGCAGTTTCTTAATCTGCAGTTTTCATTGTACGTACTTGAGAAATTCAAATTCCAAAGGTTGAATAAAAGCAAGAAAAGATGCTTAATGTACATACAATTGTTTAAAAAAGAAAGTTTTTTTCTCTCTCCACAAAAATGTTGCTGTGTGGGCTCAGAACAGTTGAACAGTTTGCCAATGATAATTAGATACATAACTATAACTTGGCACCTCACAAAATACCATTCCCTCTACAAAATGTTGACAGGGCTATGTGCCAAAATGCACCGGCCCAAAGGCTGCATGATTGAAAACAACAATTGCGCAATGTTTAGACACATTTTCTTACATTTTTTAAACATTTCATTTTTTGTGAAGTCAAAACAGCATTCAAATGATTTCATTAAAAGAAAAATTCCTTCAAACACACTACGTCTCAGAACATTTAGAAAATTTTGTTAGTAGAAAGCTTTATCTTCCATACCTGCTCATCCAAAGAAGATTTTTCCTTCTTAAGAGTTTCCAGTTGGTTCTCAGCAGACCGTTTTTCTTTTTCCAGCGTGTCTTTCTCTCTTTCAACCTTACTTTTATCTTTTTCCAGTCTTTCCACATCCCTTTTAGAAGTTGTTGCCTCCTCTCGTCTCTTTGCTACCTCATGCTCCAGTCTCTCTTTCTCCTTCTCCACAGTCTCCAGCAGCGTCACTTTCATTTTGAGCTGAGAGACCTCAGAGTTTTTGTCCGACTCCTGTTTACAGGACAGTTGCTTCATCTTCGAGTCCAGCGCTGCCTTCTCAGAGGTCAGAGTCTCAATGTTCACCTTCTCTCTTCTCAAGTCCATTTGAAGCTTTTCAATTTTTTCTTCCAAGTTCAGTTTTTCTTTTTCCATTGCAGTCAGACGTTCAACCTGAAAAGAACAGAATCCAATAAAAATCTCCAAGAAGAGTAAAACTTATCTTGCTTCAGCAGGAGGAAATATAGAGACGTAAGCACTCAAGTTTTGCTGTGCTTGCAACTAAAAAAGGTCATATGGTGAGCGAGACTCAAATTCGTCATTATCCTTTTAGTTCACAGTATGGCCTGTTTTGTTTTGTTTTTTAACTTTGTAAAATCTGAACGGTTACAGTAGCCAAAAATTCAGTAGAAATAACAGTAACTGGCATTTCTAAAATAGCACAATTTGCATTTTAGAGTAAAGATCAATGGGCTTCCTCAGATAGAGTACTCTGTTGGGATCAACAATGGAGGCCAAATTCTTCAAATCAGTGCATTCAAAATATGTCCTTCAGCAAGTGGTAGTGTAAAGCTAATAGTCAGCGTACTGACTCTCAGACCCTGTAGGCTCAGGAGGAGACAGGGCACAAAGAGCTCATCTAAAAAAGCACCAAGTATAAATAGATGACAGTGTTCACTCACTTTCACTTCCAGCCTTCGGTTCTCCCTCTCCAGGCTCGACATTTTCTCCACTTGCCCTTCTAGCTCGTGTTTCTTCTTCTCCACCACCTCCAGTCTCTCTATCCGCCTCATCAGACGATCTTTCTCTCTCTCCACCAGCGACACCTTGTCCTCCATCCCCTGCTTATCCCTCAAAGCAGTCGTGATGCGACGTTCAAATTCAGCATTCTGTTGTTGTAGGCGGGTCAGCTGGAAGTTCAGCTCTGCCTTCGACTTTTGCTCTTGATCGTTTTTAGCTGAAGTCTTCTGAAGGCTCTCAACTTCAATCTGAAACATTAAACAGCGTTTTTTCTCTCAGCAAAAAGGGAACAAAAAAAAGTAGACAAAAACAAAGTCATAAAACACCATGAGTCCTGCCTAATCCCAGAATGTCACTTTAAGCATAAGCACTTAGTCCTCAGCCTTTTTCTTTACAAATACCAAACAAACATCACATTGTTTCTATTTGCATTGGCTTGAGGGAGGAATGTTTTACATTGTATTTCCTCAAGCAATGACAGAAAAACTATGGGCAAAATCCTTGTGGGATCTAGATTGAGTCAGTATATGAATCAACCCAAAACAGAACACGCGACCAACCTGTAATTCTGAGTTCCTCTGCTGCAACTGTTGTAGATGAGACTGAATGTCAGTGTTCCTCCTCTCCAGCTTCTCCATCTCCACTGTACGGTCGTCCAACAGGCCCTGGAGGGTTTCCACCTACAACAAATTCAACACTGTCAACTTTTGCACATTTATTCATTTCTAGTTTGTTTTTTTAAAGAACTGTGTGACCATTTGAGCACCTCATGTTTGTACATTTCCAGTGGAAAAGACTGTATCTGAGATTGTGCATTCCTTTGAGCACCCTTTGTCTATTTATTAATTTTCGGTAAAAAAGAAAGATTGAATTTGAGCTTGTGTGCTCATTCAAGCAAAAGAGAAGCCACCAAAACAGTGATTACTATTCAGCGCCAGAATAAAAAAGAAATAACAGACACCTACAGGCAGCGAAAAAACATCAAAAGCAACCTTCACCTCCAGTGAGCTGCAGTGTAATTAAACAAGCACATTTCAACAGTATCTTTCTTAAAAATCCACATCACCACTGTGATGATCTATTAATGCTAAAGAAAACAAGACCACAGACAGAAATACATAGAGTAAAGAAGGATGAGCAAGTCGCATGATCCAACCCTATTAACTGAACATCAGCATAATGTGTGAATATTAACATATCTATTTCAGTTAGGAGAAATAACAATCAAAATTGTATAAGACCCCCCCCCCCCATTGTTGAGGGGAAATGTAGTTGTCTGGGACAGGTGAACGTTTTAAACAGTCATTACAATGAAGAAAAAAACACAAAAGGAGAAGTGGAAAGTGGTTGTTCATCTGTACATGGACAAAGTGACAATCATGTCCTTCTGGAAACAAGTAAGATCATAGACGGAGATGACACTTAGAAAGAACAGATGTAGGAAGTACTTGTATAACACAATCACCTGTACAAACGGCCGCTTCCCATTTCCCCCCTTGCCTGTTCTTTACATTACAATGACACTGTGTAAGCCGTCCACCTACAATGAGTGACTGTCTGAGACAAATTTGACTGTATTGCTTCCGGTTACACAGAAAAGAACACCTTAGATATTCCCTACATGCATGCACACAGAATGCATTACCTGAGTGGTCAGCGATGCCTCTCGCCGCTCCAGCCGCTGCCGATCAGAAGTGACCTTGGCCAGCTGCTCCTCGAGAGAACCAACTCTTGCCTCAGTCGCTTCCACCTGACAGTCGTACTTTTTCCTTTTCAGATTAAAGTGAAAATAAAAATATTGTTCTATTAGTGAAAAATCCCCAACAGAAAGCAAAAGAGACAAAGGCAGACCAAAAATAGTTTACCTAGAAAACTTTAATTAAATAAGTGACGCAGAAAGACCAAAATAATAGTTTTTTGTTTTTTTAGGGCAAACAAGCAGAAACACAAGTGAAAAAACAGCTTAAAGAATAAAGACAAAGACTATACAAGGATGGCTCAAATAAAAGAAAAAAGAGGAACAAATCAAGTGTACTTGTAATCAGCTGCGAGAGCTCGCTGTTCCTCCAGCTTATGGATAGCATCCTCCATCTCATTGGCCTTATTCAAGGTTGACTGCCGTGTCTTCTGCACCTCCTCTCTCACAGCTAACAGCTCAGACTCCAAGGCCAATTTACTGGACTGAGCGTCCTGATTGGAGGAGAAAGACAAATCAGGAGACTAAATTAATAACAAATATAAGTCAACTGAGCATCCATCAGTCATTATTGATGTAAACACAATGAATGATTGCCAAGTCAAAGAGTGATTATCAGATATTATTTTGAAGCCATAAAGATATAAACAAATGCTGAATTATTGAAAACCAATTTTTTTTAAAAGCAAAACGTAACTAAATATAGAAAACCTGGCAAACATTCATTGTCCATGACTTCATAGGAACAGAGAAATTAAGGAACATTCTACTGCTACAACAACAACAACAAAATTCAAGATGTCATAAAACAGATGCAAAGTAACTAGTAGTTTGAAATGTGTGACATCAGTGCAAACCAGTAGAGCAAATGCTGTTAATAATAATAATAATAGATAGCATTTGTATAGCGCATATCCCCGCTCAACAGCAGGCTCTATGCGCTTTACACTATATTATTACCCCAGCAGACCATAGTACACTCCGAAACATTCTCAGCTTCCCGGGAAGCATACAGTGCGAGCAGCCGATTAAGCGCTCAAACACTAACAAACTGACAAGATCTTTCGCTGTCTATAGCCGGGTACCCATTCTCACCTGGGTTAAGTGAGGAAAATTCGTGTAAAGTGCCTTTCCCAAGGACACAACGTCGGGCCCTTGACGGGATTCGAACCCACGACCTTACGGTTGCGAGTCCGAGAGCCTAACCACTAGTTACCAGTAAATAAGATTTTCAGCAAACCAGCATATTTGACAGTTTAACAATTAGCCATATACAACACCTTACTTCAGAATGTTACACTCTCTGACAAGCTTCACATGTCTAGGATACAACAGCACACACAGTACCTTCAGTTGTGTCTCTGTGTCAGAGAGAGCACAACTCTTGTTCAAGTAGCTCCTCATTGTCTCCTGCAGTTCTCGGATGATTGACTTCTGAGCATTCACCTCTTGCTGGTATGTTGTCACCTGGTACCATATCAGTCATTGAATACAACACATTACAATCATAAACACAGTTCTGACTAAAGCATTTACGACAACAACAAAAAAGCACACTGATGCATTAATAGAAACGATGACAAAATATAGTTGCAGAATAAACCTCTTAAATGTTCTTCCAATTTAAAAACCCATAAATGTAGCAATGCTTTGAACTTTTTGAACAAAACCACTCAACACTAACGTCACAACAAGCAAGTTTTTATCAATGACTGAAAAAGCTTCAGGAACTGACCAGTCATAAATACAAAATCCCAGTCCACATTTAGACAAAGAAATATGTTAAAACTATTGCTTTTTGTCATTTTTCTTCATTTTCAAAATGTACAATTTATTTTGTACATGGATTTTCTAGAAAAGGGAATGTTACAGCGAAAAGTAAGTTTTAAGCAGGTACGTTTTAGGCACAGCCAGGGTTGGGTTGATTTAAATCAGTTGATTTTTTTTATTTAAATCAACCTGATTTTTTAAATAAAAATCAGTGATTTAAATCATTTTTTAAAAACATTATTTTTATTCAGTTTTTACATATTTCAACATTCAGAATTCCTTTCCTTGGTTTCATAAAACAGATATAAGGTTAAGTAGACTAATATAATCATAAGTCTGCTTTCCCTCCTTTCACTGTAAAATAATACAGTATTCAATTTACTTTTTTTTCCATAATTGAAATCAGAGCTGGGTTGATTTAAATCAGTTGATTTTTTTTTATTTTAATCAACTTGATTTTTTAAATAAAAATCAGTGATTTAAATCACTTTTTTAAAAATGTATTCAGTTTTTACATATTTGAACATTCAGATTTCCATTCCTTGGTTTTATTAAACAGATAAGGTTTAGTAGACTAATATAATCATGCTTAAAAGTCTGCTTCCCCCCCTGTCACTGTAAAATAATACAGTATTCAATTGACTTTTTTTTCATAATTGAAATCAGGGTTGGGTTGATTTAAATCAGGTCGATTTAAATCAGTTGATTTTTTAAAATTTAAATCAACTTGATTTTAAAAATGAAACTCAGTGATTTAAATCACTTTTTAAAAATGTATTCTGTTTTTACATCTTTAAACATTCAGAATTCCTTTCCTTGGTTTTATAAAACAAATATAAGGTTTAGTAGACTAATATAATCATGCTTAAAAGTCTGCGTTCCCCCTGTCACTGTAAAACAATACAGTATTCAATTTACTTTTTTGTTCATTATTGAAATTAACATTTTCTTATTCTTTTTAGACAAACACAAGCGCGCGCACACACACACACGCACACTGTAATAAAATGCAAGTTTATCTATGCATAATTACCCCCCCTTCCTTTTAGACTGACATTTTCTTCATTTTTTCTCTGTAGCCATAATTCACTGATATATATATATATATATATATATATATATATATATATAGATATATATATATATATATATATATATATATATAGATATATATATATAGCAGATTAATGCTTTCTTTTGCGGTTGCTTAAATTAATCATTAGTTAAAATAAACACAATGCATTTTGCACTAAAAGAACATACTTTTAGCAACCAAAAATCCCAAACTGTGTCGACATTTTTTTTTTAATCAAAAAAATCCGATTTAAATTTTTAAAATCTTGATTTATATTTAAAAAATCGATTTTTTTTTTTTAATTTAAAAAATCAAAAAAATCACCAACCCTGGGCACAGCAGTAAACTCTTAAGAGTAAAAATACAAAATAGGATTTGAGACTTTAAGAAGTGACATTATCGTCGAGAGTGTGTTTTAAGCCAAGTACATTGTATCATCTCCTACAATGGTATGCGTTACCTGTTACACCTTTACAATCTTTCACATGAGGAACGCAACTACCTTTACTATTCGGAGCATCGAATATATGCTTGAACGTACAGTACAGTACATCGAGCAGTTCACCCAAAGGAGCTCAGATCCCCTGGAGGCTCAATGGAGCAGGGCTTAAAGCATAAAATAGAAATAGGGCAGCTTGGGATAGCAAATGTCCAAAGTAAAAAGATTTCAAGGGAAAAAAATGCTCACCTTCTCCATCAAACTTTCTTTCATCTTCCTGCCCATTCCTTCCTTCTGTCGCAGTACATTGTTGTCTGATTCCAAATTTGCAATCTTAGACATCAGCTCTTCTTCTTTTTCTCGCCAATCCCTTGCCTTCTCAGTATACTTATCAACTGTCTTTTGCAAATCCTATCAGAAAAGGAGGCCAGAGAGAAAAAAAAACATAATATATTCCACTCGTGCGCTAATAACACAACAAACACACAAATCATGTTAGCACTAAAATGAAGGTCTTGTTTGAAACAACATCATATAACCCTTTGTGTTCAAGCCAAATGAATCAAAATTTAAAATTACAAACCGGGTGGTAGGCACACTAAATTTGTTAGACAATAATCAGTGAGCAATGTCAACACCATATACTACTATAAGTAAACAACAAATTTCAAATGTGTGGGTTTTTTAAACTTTAAAATCCTCATCTTTCCAAATTTCTTTTGATGAAAGTGAAAGATTGAAACGATTGGGAAATTGTTTTATCAAGTCTAAAAGTTATCTGTTACCTGCAGTTGATGCACCGTTTTATTGTCCACGAAAGAGCATCGTCCAGCTTTGAGTGTCACATGCAAGGTCAACTTCTTCTTGGAAGGACATTTGTTGTGATGATGATCATCCAGCTCGACCTGCAGCCAGAGGAAGGAGAAAAAAGAAATCAGTCCATTAAAACCATAACAACAGTTTGTTCTATTTTCTTTTCAAAGTACAAAAGTTGGGACCTTCAAATTACATATACAGATTAATTAATCAAAGAAGAGAAAAACAGAACTTTACATACAGTGAATTTTTACCATACACCTATACCAGAGATCACGAACTACGGGCCATTGGCCAGATTCAACCTTCAAAGTCAGTTTGTCTGGCGCACCACCATGCCACCACATAGGAAAAAGCTTAGAAGATGCGTTTGTAGCTTGTTCCACAGGCGGTCACCAAAATCATTTACTCATTTCATTAAATGCTACAGGGTAAATCAAACAAGGCTTTTTATAAACTTTAAAACTTAATGTATCACACACTCTCTCAGCTTTAGTGTAACAAATCTTTCATTTAACACCTCAGTGTGCTGTATTGAAATAACAGTTATCCAGCCTGTGCTTCAGATTCTATCAGTGGTGGTTTGTACACATGAGTCTTGAACAGGTGGCCATTAGAGCTGGTTCAACAGTATATCTCTGCTTAAAGTATATCTCATCTCACAAGGACTCACCCTGGCCTCTCCCTGCCCCCCTGACATCCGGACATCTGTGATGGCAAAACTGGTGCCAATGTCCTGTATCGAGGTGTTCAGCTTATGCTGCAGCTGCGTCACTTGATTCGACTGTTGTTCCTCGCTGTCTTCATACGCCTCCACTAGACCCTCGAGTTCGTGTAAACGTGACGACAACTCCTCAATCTGTGCCTGTTTGTCGTCTAGCAAACTTTGCCACGTTTCGCTGCGGAGTTCTAACAATTCCAAGTCCTTGCGTTGGTTTTCATGGGACACACGTCTACTGGAGTCCACACGGAGCCGCTGGGTAGACAAACATTAAATAAGAAATTAAAGCCGTTTGATCCATCATTTCAACCTAGAAACTATTGACATTTGGTGCAGTCATTCAAGATAATATCATCAACCGTATGACAGGTTAACCCACACAACTTTGTAGATAGCTATCAATTGACCTAACAGGGTGAAGCTCATGATTTGCTTTTAAAATATTAAAACAAACCACCAAAAAAAATCAATCAATACATTGCACATTTTGATCTGGTCCACCAATTATGAGGAAAGGAGCAACAACAACAACAACAACAACAAAAAAAACAGAATAAGGATGAAACCTACACACTTTAACAATATTTATTTAAACTTTCAAGTAAGAGAGTCCAAATACCAATTAAAACAAATTATCTTATCTTTACATTTGATTGACTCTGAGCTTCCTCCAAGGCAGCCTGAAGCTTCTTGATTTGCCGATCTTTCTCACGAAGCTGGGCCGTCAGCTTTTCCTGTTCTGTCTCTAGCATGACCACTTCACTCTTCATCTCCTCCACGCGAACTTCCAGCAGCTCATCCTCTGCAGAACACAGAACATCATCACGTTATGACAAAGTTGTACTTCTCGCAAGTCAACACAATAATGGTCATATTCAACAAGGAGCAGATTCAGACAACATTTAAATAGGAAAAAAATATGGAGGACAGACCATATATCAGAGTGCCAACAAACTAGGCACAAAAACAATCCTAAAGTTTAACACATTGACAGCTAAAGAAAAAAAAATGTTTAAGCAGTTTCAACTACTCCTGTCATTGCCTGCACAGAGCCCCCATTCATTGTCCTTGAAGTCACTTCTATGCCGTCTTGGCAACAAAACGGTATGGATTTGACACCTCTTTCAATTGTAAATGTCATATAAGGAGCAAGACCTCAGAATTCATGGTCAATTTCCAAAAAGACTAAATCAAGAAGGCGGAAAAAACTCAATATAACCATTGATTAACAACCTTTGAGGATTCATTAAGATATTATACTGTCGAACCAGCTCTAATTTAATAGCCCCTTGTGCAAACCACCCACTGATAGAACCAACTGAGCTAATAATGTATAGCAGATACAACAAAGTTCCATGCACTTTACAATCTGTATTATTACCCCCCAGCAGACCCCAAAACACTCGGAAACATTCTCTGCTTCCCTGAAAGCACATCAGATGATACAGCAAGTGTTCACCCAAGAACAAGATTAAGAAAAAGTAAGAGTAACGACATCACGAGCAACGTAAGACACATTTTTCAAAACTACCAACAGACAGAAATGACAACCCACCAATATTCTGAATCTCCCTGTTCATGGAGTTCAGACTGTCCAGCACAGCTTTTGACTTTGAGTCCAGGCTGCCCCAGCCCTTCTTCTCAAGCTCCAGCATACAACGCAGCCTCTCGATTTCTTCATCCTTCTCCGACATCTTCACAATCAAACTCTCGTTTCCAAGCACCGAAGTGCTGGCTGTAGACTGATCCAAACAAACTGCTGTGTTTAAGACATTGCTGTTATTGCGACCTAGTTGGAATGATGAAGCAGTGCTTTTCAAAGTAGAGTCAGATACCTTATGGGGTATCTCTTCTTGTTTTTGGCAAGAGTTTGCATCGTTGCGAAAAAAGTCAAATTTCTTGAACTTTTTGTCTTGTTCTTTTACATCAGATGTAGCCTTCAACATGTTTAAATTGGGTTGTCTTTCCACTTTCTCCACTTCATCAAAATGAGAGGTATCATCAAGGCTGTTCAGAGTGGGAACATACGCTGCGTCCTCTGCGAAAAGATGGGATGTCAAAAGCATGATGAGGCAAGTAAAAACCAAAAAGCAAATAGAATTCATAATCTGTCTGGTAAATGAAATTTAATCAGCTTTTTAAATCTTTGCAAGTCCTGTCATTGCTGCTTACTGCTTAGCGTAAACAATATCACAATAACTTTTCTGTGCTACACTAAAAGAGTGTTTGTCATCTGTGCCCATGCTCTGATTCCTTCTCTTTTAACCTCTAGGTTTATCTCTTATACAGAGTGAAAACTAGCTCTCAGTGACTCAGTCGTTCACTCTTTTTATGTGAGCAAGATTCGAGCTTGAAACCAATTGTTCCTGAGCTGCACGTCCATTTCTGCAGCATCACTACTCTCTTCTGTTAACCCTTAGAGCGCTGACTTCTTTCCCCTTATATTTTCCCTCTGTGCTGAATTTAATTTGGAAAAACGCCAGATTTGCACATGCGCTTTTTTTTTGCTAATAACATTTTTATTTGTCAAAATACTGCCGGTTCATTAGATCTCTAGATCTAGACCAGAGTCTAGATGCTTCATAGGCTTACGTTATACTCCATAAAGTGTTAGCTTTAGCATCAAAACCCTCGAAATCATCTTCCTATTCAAGATACGCGGAATATCTTCATCTGAATCTGATGCGACACTATTTTCATGTTCGTCGAGGGTCGCAATCGCGAATTTTCTGACTTCACTATCATTCGACTTCAACGTGAAACAAAAAACTCCTTGCGCCTTGATCGAACCCAGTGACAAGAAAAATGGCGGCCGAAATCAATTCTGCGTAGCCAAGTCATTGATTTTAGAATAAAGAAACTGCCCCTGCAGCCATTCAAAATGAAATGTGAAAACATCGAGCAAGTGTCAGACTATAAGTATTTGGGTGTTACAATAGACAACAAACTCAACTGGCGCGTCCACACTTCTCTCCTGCATAAAAAAGTGAACAAAAGACTATTTTTTCTAAGAAAGCTAAAGTATTTTAAAGTTGATAAAACATTGATGTCCATGTTCTACCATTCAACCATAGAAAGTATGATCAATTTTTGTATAACAGCATGGGCCGGGAACACAAGACAACAGGATAAAGAAAAATTAAATCGACTAATACGGAAAGCATGTAAAATTTCTACATCTTCATTCCCCTACTTGAATGAATTGTACATAACAGCTTGCACTAAGAAAATTAATTCTATCTTTTTAGACAACAAACATCCCTTGTTCCCTCAAATAAAAATATCAGTCAGAAGTAAAAGACCCATGCTTCTGATCTGTAACAAAGAAAGATACAGAAGGTCATTTTTACCATCATCTATCAAAATGCTTCCATCTTAACCATCTTGTTTAGTGTACTTACGACCTTAGAGCATGCATCAAAATAACATTGAGTGTGTATCTAGCTTACGATTATTATTGTTTATATTGCTGCTCATTTATATTATGCATGTGATTGTAAGCCTACTTGTGTGTGCATATGTGTGCACGTGTGTACATGTGTGTGCACGTGTGTACGTGTGTGTGTGTGCGTGTGAGTGTACTCGTGGTGGAACACCAAACCAATGTGCCAGGATCTGGACAATAAAGATGTATCTTATCTTATCTTATCTTATCTACCAGCCAGCAGTATAAAAATTAGTACTTCGTTCTTTCGGTACGTCGCGTTATACTATGGCAATGTCTATCGCGACTGGCGGTTGGGATCAGCACTTAACGGAAGTTCGGGCCGTCACTACTGGTGGTCGCGATCAGCACTCTAAGGGTTAAAAATAGGCTACTGAAACAAATACTGCAGACATTGTTTAACACAAAGCCATTTAATACAAAACTCCCGTTGTTACATAAGATTTTTTATCCCCATTTTCCCCTGTCTACACTCTTTGCATAGGGGGCTCTCGTGGCCTAGAGGTTAAGGTGTTGGCCTCTCATTCAAAGGTCCCGGGTTCGATTCCGGGTGGCGACCAAAAAATTTTCTTCTCTGAAATTGTCTCCTTTCACCTCCTTTCCTGCTCTCTAGCAATGTTGTGTTGTCTGCTTTCATTTCCACTTTCTGCCCCCACCCCCTCACCTCCTTTGCCCCCTCCTCTGGGCTCCTGACTCTTTCTGCAGCCTTTCTACTGCTACTCCTTGGCTCCTCCTTACTGCTGTCTTTCTGCCACACCCCTGATCTTCTGGTAGGAAAGATCTACACCTAGCCTTCTCGGACAAGGGGGAAAAATCTCGGAGGGCCCGTGTGCAAGTTGCGCACGTTAAAGATCCCTTGGTGGTCTAAAATCGATAAGAGTAGGCTTCGGCCGCCACCCGGGCAAAATTCAAAATTTCCTACCAACTAAAAATATTAGGAGTGTCCCGTGCGCTCATATGACCTATGCAGTTGCGAGCGCCGTAAAACACTTTACAAAAACAAACAAACAAACTCTTTGCATTTCAACTTCCCTTATCATGAAATCTACTTAAAATGAAGAAATTCTCTGGTCCCATGAAATTCGTGTTATCAAGGTTTTAATGTAATATGTTCCACTCACAAAGTTTTTTTTAAAAATCCCAGGCTGATTACATGTCAAAGTGACTCCCCAAGCACATTATTACAATCTCACACTTACTGTCTCGCAAGTTTTCCCATTGCATTTTGAAAAACAATGGATGTCTTCGAATTTCCTTCCAGCCAAATCGCAGTGCAGGATCTGTGAGAAGCTTTTTTATAAAGTCTTTTGCTTTCGAAGATGCACTGCTCACTGAAGGAAACCTCAGAGTGTTCTGAATAAGTAAAACAGAATTAAAAAATAGAATATTATCATGCTTCTTCAATCTATTAAACTTCAATTTTCCAACCAATATTTTATTGCAGAAGAGCATTATCAAAACATCTTGAAATTTACATCAACATAACTTAACTCTACCTTTTAAAGCTATTCCTCAGAAAGGGCTACACATACATAAATGCATGAATCCACCCACACACCCCTGTCCTTATGGACTTTACAACCAACTTGCAAAAAAACATTCAAAACGATCAACCTGGAGCCAAACATACAAAAATATATAAATGACATTATCTATGAAGCAAAAACTAATAGTACAAAGAAGGCAAATAGTCACTGTAGTAAACAAAACAGAAACCTTATGGTCCATGATGTTGGCATATGTGGACACCATTGAGGCATGCTCGTTGGTGAAAGGCGTTGATCCATAGAGCATCTCATAGGCACAAACTCCCAGGGACCACCAGTCTACCTCGGGTCCGTATGTCGTCCGGCCATGTCCCTTGTTCAAGCTAGTGAGAAGCTCTGGAGCAACATAATCCGGGGTTCCTACAGGCATGCGCGCAGAAACCTATGGATTGCAAAATAAAGTAAAACAATTAATAGGAAAGGACACAAAAATTAACCATTCAGTTACCCTTAACTTAAAACATTAGGCTAAACAAGCTTCAAAGCTGAATACCTAAGTCAAAAGTTAGTTTTGGAGCAGTTTAATTTTTCTTTTTAATGTTTGGTAAGAGTTTTACTGCACTTGCAAACACAATTCTTCTTCTCCTTCAGGTGTCAGGTCTGGAAAAGACATTGACGATCATGGTACCCCATTCTTTCCTGTTGCCTGTCTTCTTGATCAGCTTGATTTTTCTCTTTGTGTTATTCGGTGCAAATATTTTCAGGCCATCGGTGTATGTCGTTCTTTGTCTTCCTCTGCTCTTCTTTCCTTCTTTCTTTCCACAATTAGGTCGTGTAAATCCTGAAGGTGTTACAGAGAGTAACATACACAAAAAAAGAGGAGAAATAAGGGCAACGTATGTTGGATAAGAAAGAAGGAGCAGACCACACCAGAGGACCCACTAACCACCCACATTTTGCATAGTTTTTGTCTTATTTTCCTGCATTTTAATTGCATGACACCCTATCACCTGAATATTGTAGAAGCAGGCACTGGGAGCGGCTCAAGGAAGAGAGTAACATAAAAACAAAAGAGAAAATTAGGAGCAAGTAGAATCAACAAAATGAACAATACTCAAAACCAGCATGAAGATAAAAAGAGAAAAGAAGCGAAATCCAAAACAAAATTGACACCAAGAAAACATGGTCCCTGAGACATATGGCTTGAAGCCCAAAAATTCTTTAAATCTGGAATTAGATGGTCAAAAACTTGATTTAACCGTTTGAGGCCACCAATAAACCGGTGGCACATAAAATTGCCCGCATTCCTAGCCATTGGTTCAGCGGTGAGCGAGACTCTATTCCTAAACCAGCCCGCCGGGAAAAAACGTGCATGGGAAAATGTGTTTACTACACAGGATGTCGCTGATTATTTTGAAAATCTTTCAGATGCTAGTAATGTTGAGAACTAATATGAGTGGGATATGGAATGGAATTCTGACGATCACGAGAACGTTAGTTATAATACATCACTCAGGACCTCAGGCAAAGGGGCACGGAAGCATCAGGAGGTCAGGGAACAAAGGGTGAACACAACATCTTAATAAAAAAATCCTTTAAAAGAACCAACATTTTCCAAGCCTCTACATTTGACAAAGTATATTTGCTAAAAACAATCCCACCCGTTCAAAGCAACCTAACAATAAACAAAAATCATAAACACAACATGGTATTTCTTCTCTCGTACATACTTTTTTGTTTGAGTTCATACGGGCCGCTGATCCAAAGTCTGCTAGCTTCACATGGCCAGTTCTGTCCAACAGGATATTTTCGGGCTTTACATCTCTGAAAATGTGAAGAAAACAATAATATGGCAATAAAACTAATGAATGAAAAATGTGAGGGGTTTTTTTGTTGCACTATTTCATTACTACAACAGGACCAAATGAAGAAGAGCACCAATATTATGACAATTATTTTCGCTCATATCAGGACAAATATTTTCAGACTAATCCCTTTTCTTTAAGAATATTTAAAATCTGTTCTATTCAGAAGGATATTTATAACGTCAGATAAAAAAAAAGAAAAGAAAATAACACAGAATTAAGGAAAACCAGCCTTAATGTAGAACAAAATGTTTTAATGCTTTTAAAACAAACACTGCTTATTACGTTTCACCAAGAGACTTAAGAGATTATGTACAATAGTACACACAGCAAAAACTATTTTAAAAAAAACAACAACACATTTTTATTAAAACATGTACATGTGCTTCTCACCTATGCAGATAACCCATTTCATGTAAACTATTAATTGCCACAGCCATTTCTGCAACATAAAATTTAGCCATCTCCTCTTCAAAAATATCGTCATGCCTGAGGAAAGAATTTAGTAAACAGGGTCAGTCATAAACTTAAAGTCCAAATGCTAAACCTGCTACAAAAGACAAGTGCTTCCTTCACTAAACCTTCAATGTTACGAAAAACAACACAAACAAAAACAACAAATAAGTGCAAGTTTCAGACACATTTATTAACATAATACAGATATTGGGTGCAGGAAGAATTTACATCTATTTTATAAACAAAGATTCAAAATACAATTCACAAGTGGCATTCATTCAAGCATAAAAGAAAAAAAGAAACCACCTTGTTTCTAAGAACTCTTAGGAAGACACATAAAGTGGAGTCCACTTAACCCGATATCTGCTGAATCACTGGATTTAGACAAGTTTTTGGCTTGATTCGTCATATAGAAGAAAAAAAATAACCAAGGCCTTTACTTTCTTTTGGTTTACTGCTATTTTCGGATTAACAGTGTTCAGTTTAAGCTGACTCTACTGTACATTGAAGCAAAAAACAGATGTAAGAGATTAAAAATCTATGTCGACTGCTTAGTGTAAGACTCCACCCTACGCCATTTTGAAAAGTGACATGTTACAGAGTCTAAAGCCCCAGTTACACGCAATGATAAATGGTATCACATTCGTCGTATGTGAGAACTGTCCGTTTTATCTAACTGTGTTGTCTGTTAACACGTTCCAATCTATCATCCAGTTTTCTTTCGATCGAGGAGATTCCTAGAAGCCACCATGTCTCTTTGCAACGACAGCGATTTGCCTGCACTCTACGTGAAGGTTTCGAGCTCAGTAACTAATGAACAAAAGGCGAACACAGTACCTCTAGATCACAAGAGCTCCCCTCCCCAGTACATTTTGAATAGCAGAACAATGTCTTTAGAAAAGGGTGGCCATACTGTACTGTGCTGAGTGTAGAAAGAGAAGATCTGACTTTACTTTGATGTGCAACGCACCGAGTGACTTTGATGCACAACTTCACCATTGACTATCAATTAAATAATATAAAATTACTCAAATTTACATAATTTCACATCAAATCAGGTTCCCCGCAAGCTACTCCGCTTATTTTGAGACACTGATTCCGAATATGAAATCAGTTTTAAGATGTGACAATTATTTTTTAAATTTTGCCCCCTAAGTTTAATCCTGCGAGGCAGCAAAATTTCAAAGAGATTGTAAGTCACAGCTCGTCTCCCCCAAATCTGAACAAGATCGCACGAAAAATATCAAGCAGCGCTTGGTTCCTAGACTGAGTCTTCAAGCCATCGTCCAAATTTTGAACAATTTTGTGGTTACACCTAACGATTTATGATATGATCGCTTGATCATCCAGTTTTGTACATTTAATCGTTACGTGTAACCGGGCCATAACACTGTGCAGTCAATATGCATTCTAAATTATATTTGACTTATATAAGAAGGAACGCATTGATGTCAGATTTATTAAAAGGGAAAGTAGATGTCCTGCATACAATGCAGAGACTTTCTGAGATGTTTGGTTTAAACTCAAAAAGACTGGACTGAGAGAAAAAACATTCCAAAAAGGACAAGAAAACACGGATCGTACTTACACTTGAAACTCAAACTTATGCTGTAAGTTAACCATGCCCATCAAACAAAAATACAACATTTGAAAGCACATGATCTCTGACATCAAAATTAGTCTGATGTCTGATTTCTTTTACCTTGAGAGCAATGAGAGTAAGTCACCCCCAGCATGAAACTCCATCACCAGGTACAAGCTAACAGCATCTTGGAAAGCAAAGTGCAACTGTGTGATCCAAGGACTGGTGGTCTCTGCCATTATGTCTCGCTCCTCTTGGTAAAAGGAAATCTATGGTTATGAAAACATTAAAACCAAATTAAGAAGAAGAATACATGATGCATTTTAGGCAGAGATCAATGCAGTAACATATTATACAACATATCTTTTCTAATTTTTTTTTTTTTAATTGCTGTTACATTTTTACCCATTACTCATTATATACCTATATTCATACCAATCCTTAAACTCTTTACCTCCGGAGCATCAATTGTCTTTCTATATTCTGCTAAAGAAATGGCGTGAGCGCCAATCCACCACATGCCTCATTTTATTTTTATCAATGTATTTGGATGCGGTAGTTTTTATTTTACAACAATACTATTTTCAGTAATTTCGATTGTTTATCCAATTTCCCTCCAAATTTGGATGTGAGAAAATGGGTTTTGGACATGTTTAAGACAATTTAGATCTGTAATGAAAGAACTAGTCTTGGATTTGTTTTTTGTCTTACAGTGAGAATAAGTGAGCGATGGTAACAGAAGGTGGTAGCCCCTACTTTGTTTCATGAGCAAATATGAAGCTGTAGATTTCTTAAGGACTGATACAATCATGAGTTAGATTTGTCCGACAGTTGTGATAGCGACAACATTGACGATGTATTTGATGAGCTGTTCCGAGTGGGTGCGAAACATCAGTTTATGAATTCAAACATTTCTCTTTTTTGCCCCACATATATGATATAATAACAAGACACTTTTAAAAGCCAACACATGAAGCAATACCATAAATGCACATTACATTTTATATCAAATGTTTATAGTGTTTGTGTGAAACTTATTTCAGTTCTGTGTCTTCAGAAATTGTCTCGACTCAAAATCCGAGCAGTTTCAAAAGTTAATTCTTCCGAAGCAAGGACAAAGATTATGACAGAGAATTGAACGCAGCAATGACAAAAATCTCAAGATAATGTAAATTTTGCCATTTTCAATGGAAACAGTTTTAAACAACAATAATAAAATCTTTAAAAAATGAAAGAAACACGGAAAGTCAACAACAACAAATTTTTTAATAAAAAAGATTTACCAACCAACAGTATCAGGTTCGGATGCACTTAAATAACAAAAACTGTTTTGCAATAATTATGTCATGGGACTTTAAAGAAGAAAGTGAGAAAGATAAAAGATATAATAAAAGTGAAGTGCACAGACAAATCCAATGCAAAAACAGCAACAAAATAGCTTACTTCAGGTTGTGCCAATATATCCGACTTTTGAAGTACTTTCATAGCATAGACAGCTGCAGTCACCTTATGCTTGACAACCTGTACCACACCAAAGTGGCCACGGCCAATAATGGCCTTTACTTGAAAATCTGATGCCTTTATTTCTTCCATTTTCAAGTAACCCTGAGAAAGATATAAACACACCAATACACTGAGACTAAAATGATAGGAAAAAATCAAAACACAAAGAACCAAAAAGAAATTACTTTTGTTTATCTAGGGATTTTTTTATACCTTTAGCAACACAATCTAGATCATTCAGGAGGCGGGCTTCTACCCGACCCTGCCTGCCAGGACCAACTGGATTCAGGATACACTGCCAGCAGAAAGACAAAGATACTTGATAAAAATTATCCCTGCACAGGAATCAAATTCGAGTCTCTTGCATGCAAGAGTGCTTACTTAACAGCTACAACACAGACGCCAGTAAAATTATAAAAGAAGACCAAACTACTCTCTGTGTTTGATCAGTCTACACTACACAGATTCAATTAAACCTTTGACTCAATCAGAAAGAATGGGGGCTCTCATGGCCAAGACGTTTAAGATGTTCGCCTCTTATTCAATAGGTCCAGGGTTCAAATCCGGATAGCGACAGAAAATTTTCTGCACTAAAATGTTCTCCTTTCACATTTTTTTCCTGCTGTATAAAAATGTTCTGTCATCTGCTTTCGTCTCAACTTTCTGCCCCAACCCTCTTTGCCCCCTCCAGTGGGCTCCTGACTCTTTCAGCAGCCTTTCCACCGCTACTCCTTCTCGGACAAGGGCGAAAAATCTCGGAGGTAATGTGTGCAGGTTACGCACATTAAAGATCCTTTGGGGGTCCAAAATCGATAACAGTAGTCTTCGGCCACCACCAAGGCAAAATTCAAAATTTCCTACAAACTGAAAATATTCAATGTGTCTTGCGCCCTCATATGACCTTAGGAAGTTGCGAGCGCCGTAAAACACTTTTAAAAAATGTTTTTTTAACGCAGAAAGAATCCCCATTCTCTTAAAGCACTAAAATCAAACAATACCTCTGTTATTGAATGATTCCTCCAAGCAACATTGGTTTTGGATATGTAAAAACTGCAGCTTGCCTTGCACGAGAAAAAGCTTTAGCTGATGCTTCTTGGAGCAATTTTCTCCTACACCAAATCCTGGCTACTCAACTCCAAAATTAAAACAATCTGCCTACCCATCAGCACTATAATATATGTTTAAATATTAGTAATTAACAAATTGATAATTAGTAATCAAGCTATAAAATTCATAATATAATCAATAATGGATAGTCTTTTTCCAATATGGGGCAGGGTGCCAAAGGTACAGGTTGTATACCGTAACCATGTAATGTGCGATGAAAGGTCTCAGCAGGTGCGATGAAAGGTCTCAGCAGGTTTGCGCTGTCAAGTTAAAATAAAGTGACAAGATGCATCAAAGCTGTTGACCCTGATTGTGTGTCACGACACATCATGCTACACATTCACAAGTGATCGTTCCAAACAATGATCCCTGTTTTTCTTCATTTCTCTCATTGGCCTAAGCCGTCACCCACAACTCGAAGTGTGGGAATTTTTTATCACTTTTACTTTGTCTAACTAATGTTTGCCTTATTCTTGGCATTGGTACAATGTAAGTAATCTATTTCTAAAAGCAAAGCAGCGCAGAACTGAGAAACTCAAGATATGCATAATTTTAAGGCCAGTTCTATTCGGACTCGAGTCCGATAAGACCTTTTATTTATTCGGACTCAAGGCCGAATATAATGGGTTTTATCTATTCCGACTCGGGTCCGTAAAATATGTTTCATTAATTTGGACTCGGCTTCTAAGTGAGTTATGTGAGTGTAAGGAGGTTACATAATATAACTATGGTCGGGGGATTTTACGTAAAACCAGAATAAGAACTAGAATTACCTACTAGGACTGTCTAATTGTGTCAAAAGTCAAAAGACTGCACTCTCATTGCCCAAAGGCAGTGTCTAAGTACATGGTAACTGACAACTTAGGGTCTTTCCACCACCACTAGCCTACAGCATCATCATTACTTCCACCACCATGGATCGCATCTGGCCCATGGAATTTCATTTAGCTATCTGGTTCTTTTTTGGCTCCAAACTCCAAATACCCCCGCGGCCGTGCCACTGACTAAAGTGTCTTTAGGCCATTCCCAAAGGGGGACATTTCTCGTTCATGCACAGTAGAATTGTAAATGGGCTGATTCATCAATGTCACGCTCATAACTGTGCCTGATTACAACAGGGAACTGCTGCTTTTTCTTTCCTAATCCTTACTATTGTCATTTTTCCTCTACTTCTTTTGTATGTTTGTCACACTCTTGTGACCCACCATTGCCGGGGTGCCTTGATAGTCGAAGCAGACTTCGTGCTGTTGAAGCTAGAGAGATGAGCAGAGTAAGTCTGAATCCCTGTAAGGACTTCACTGTTGACATCCACCCCTTGGCGCTCATATGACCTAATGCAGTTGCGAGCGCCGTAAAACCTCTACCAAAACAAACTCCAAATGGTCAAGAAGAAGGGGAAAGAAGAGGCAAGAAAAAAAGATAAAGAAAGAATAAAAGAAAAAAAATGAGAGAAGGAAAAGAGCTAGGAAAGCTTAATTACTCGCCCATTTGGTCTGAATAATTTACAACCCTTCTGTAACAAAGTAACAAAGGACGTCAACATAATAATAATAATAATAATAGATAGCATTTGTATAGTATAGCGCATATCCCCGCTCAACAGCAGGCTCTATGCGCTTTACACTATATTATTACCCCAGCAGACCATAGAACACTCCGAAACATTCTCAGCTTCCCGGGAAGCATACATTGCAAGCAGCTGATTAAGCGCCTAAACACTAACAAACTGACAAGATCTTGTCATGAACTTGTTACAGAAGCGTCCCTCGTTCTCCGAGTGGTGGCGACCCATATGTTTGTTTTACCATTGCACTCAATCTTCCTTGTCTGATACATTTCGTTTTATTGTCACCCTTGTGCAAAATGAGCGACAAAATAAAAATTACAAACGAAATACAAACCAACAACAACAACAATAACAATATAAGACAACAACAATGAGGCTACTTTCGATTGGGGCCTCAGATGGGAATGGTTTGTTTTCTTTATCTTGGTCAGTCCTGCCTAAGACGGCCACCTGTCTTATATGGCCACTTTTCTCCTTGACAGGTTTGACTGTACATATCTGCCGCTACGTGATCTTACAATTTGTGAGGAAAAGGGATGTGATGGGTCGTTTATAATGCTTTTTATACGTGTGGTGTTATACATTTCATTCATTCTATTAAAATCATATCCAGAGATCTTGCTGGCTTTCTTAATGGTTCTGTCACATTTGTCTTTATCTTTCACCTTACACAGTTCCCACCCCAGCAGCAAATACAAAATAATAGTACACTTTCAATCATAGAATGGTAAAAAGGGACATAATCTTATTGTCAACACGGAAACTTCCTAATTTCCTTAAAAGAAACATTCTTTGATTTACTTTTTTATGCACAAGAGCAGCGTGGGGATGCCAGTCAAGTTTGTTGTTGATTGTTACACAAAGATACTTGTAAAAGCTTACCACCTCCACCTCTTCATCTTAAATAAATAGTGGTTGCAATTGGTCTTTTTTTAACTCTAAAGTCTATTATTAACTCCTTTGTCTTTTTTACATTTAGTAAAAAAAAGTGATTATCACACCAATTTGTAAATAGATTCACAGCGTCCCTGTATTCATTCTCATTTGTTGTTATAAGGCCTTGTAGAGTGGAATCGGGGGCTCTCGTGGCCTAGAGGTTAACGTGTTGGCCTCTCATTCAAAGGTCCCGGGTTCGGATCCGGGAAGCAACCGAAAAATTTTCTTCTCTAAAATTGTCTCCTTTCACCTCCTTTCCTGCTCTCTAACAATGTTGGGTTGTCTGCTTTCATTTCCACTTTCTGCACCCACCCCCTCACCTCCTTTGCCCCCTCCTCTGGGATCCTGACTCTTTCTGCAGCCTTTCTACTGCTACTCCTTGGCTCCTTACTGCTGTCTTTCTGCCACATCCCTGATCTTCTGGTAGGAAAGATCTACACCTAGCCTTCTTGGACAAGGGCAAAAAATGAAAATCTCGAAGGGCCCCTATGCAAGTTGCGCATGTTAAAGATCCCTTGGTAGTCTAAAATCGATAAGAGTAGGCTTCGCTCGCCATACAGAAAAAAATTCAAAATTTCCTACCAACTGAAAATATTAGGTGTGTCCCGCGTGCTCATATGACCTTATGCAGTTGCGAGCGCCGTAAAACACTTTACAAAAACAAGAGTGGAATCATCCGCAAATTTTATTAGTTTGACGTTTTTGTTATCAAAAGTACAGTCGTTGGTGTAGTTTGTGTGCGTTTGTGGCCTACTTTTAGAATTGCCTGTTGTGTTGATTCTACACCGAAGCATAGGCTAGCCTACGTCTCATTCAAAACACGCTAAAATGGTAGCTCTAGGTTCTAGTCCAATGAAATTAGAGAAAAAATTGACCCACCAAGACATGAGGTGCTCGAAAAGATAGCCAAGAAACAAGACTTCCATTTTACTCTGTACAAAAATCTGTCAAATGAGCTTGAATAGATGCAAAATGATATTAGCCTACCTGATAAAAATAAGTTTAATAGTTTTGTTGGCGCTCTTTGGAAATTGCCTTCCTGTTCCATTGGCAGCCATTCTGAAACTGATGGATAGCCATGTAAACGTGAAGATTGGGCCAATGGGACGCTAGGTGCTCGCTGCAGCTTCATGTACTGTAGGCCTGTTTTAAAGCCGGCTATATTTCTCCAAACGCTCCGGAAAATAAACTTGAACTCTATGTCTCCAAATGGCTTCCGTTCTCGAGATTTGTTGATAATTTGCGAATGGAGTGGCCTGCGTGCGCGCGTGTGTGTGTGTGTGAGAGGGAGAGAGAGAGTGAGTGTGCATGTGTGTGTGCGTGTGTGAGTGAGTGTGCGTGTGTTATGTGTATGTTATTAGGTGTGAACGAGGCATGGGGGCGGGAGCGGGGAGGGATTTTATTTTGGGAGTGTATACAGACCCGGCAACCGGGAACAAAGTCACAAAGTATACAGACCCGGTAGGGAAACTCTTTTGTGATTTCGGAAAGTTTCAGCGCCCTCTTGCCACTCTTGGCTCAGGGTAGAACTAGGTTCTTCTAGATCTAAGGCCTAGGTCTAGATCTAGACAGACAGATATAAATCATTGATCTAGTTTCGAGGCCAGCCTAGATCTAGATCTAAATGAAGATTGCGGATGGATGTCTTTTCGATGAACGATCGTTTTTCCTCTGTTTTGGAGTTGGAGGAATCACAATTTGTTTGAAGAAAAGAAAAATATGTCATAATTTCAATCGAGCAGAGTCTCTCTCTCTCTCTCACTCTCTCTCCTCTGTCTCTGTGTACGGCTCGCATTCTCTTTTTCTTTGTTTGTCTCTCTCTTTCTTTCTCCCCACCTATTTCTCACTCTATCTTCCTCTCGTTCCCTCCTGCCAACTGGGCTGGGATGTCATACATTTTGCTAGCACTTTCCCCAGCTCTCTCTCTCTCTCTAACTCTAACTCACACACACACACACACAAATACTACCGGGTATGGGCGCTGAAACTTTCCGAAATCACAACACAAGAGTTCCCCTACCAGGCACCGGGTATGTATACTTCGTAACTTTGTTCCCGGTTACCGGGTCTGTATACACTTCGTTTTTTTATTTTGGCCGGCTCTATTTCTCCAAACGCTCAGGAAAATAATAGGCATCCAAAATAATATAGATCTATGTGTGAGTATGTGTGTAGCCAATCATGCCCCAATGTGGGAGAGAGAGAGAGAGAGAGAGAGAGAGAGAGAGAGAGAGAGAGAGAGAGAGAAAGAGAGAGAGAGAGAGAGAGAGAGAGAGAGAGAAAGAGAGAGAGAGAGAGAGAGAGAGAGAGAGAGAGAGACTAGATATCTATTCTAGAATAAGTATAGAAGAGAGAGAGAACTGGAATAAATAACTTCTTGTCATTCTTGTTCTGTGCCGAGTAGGCCTAAATCTACTAAACACTCAAAGGGAAGGCAATTTCCAAAGAGCACCTCAATATCTAGATTCTTCTCAACCCGAACATCACGAAAAAGAAAACTCAAAAGTCTTCACTTGGGCAAGATCTGTATCTTACCTTTTACCGTTCCACTTTTCTCAACAGTTTAAGTTATTCGACCATTTTGAATTCTCGCAGCCGGAAGTAAACACGTCCAACTTCGCTTGAAAAATACCCAATCAAATCAAGCTATTTACTCAAAGTTGGTTTGGATGTAAAGTTCGAGGGTTAATAAAATAATAGATATTTTATTATCTGGCACGCAAGCTGCGTTTTGAAGCCCTCTCAATTTCATTTTCCACAAATATGTATTATTTATTTAGGGCCAACAGTGTATTAGTTTTTTGTTAGGTTAAGTTACATGTACATGTATTTCCAAACTGATCAAATTTAGGAAAAAATAACTTTCTAATTAATGAGAGAAATAAATGGGACCCCAACAAGGTTTGTTGAGCGGCATGTCTCGGAAAATCCTGTAGGCCCACATGTTCAGCAGGCCTACAGTAAAGGACCTTGCTACTGTAAATTTTAGACTACGGTCAGAGGTTTGCGAAAAGAACAATAAAAATTATCAGCACCAAACTTAAACCTTATATTGGTGGATCTTACTAATGAGAGGGGGTGCAGAAGGCAACGAGAGAGAGAGGAGAGAGAACGAGAGAGAGAGAGAGAGAGAGAGAGAGAGAGAGAGAGAGAGAGAGAGAGAGAGAGAGAGAGAGAGATTAAATCAAATATTCGAGACAAATTTCAATGTTCTACAAATGGAAAAATCTGTATCCATCCCGGGGGTCAATGGTGCGAGGAGCGGTGACATCACGGTATACACACAAGAAATATCCACACAGCAAACACATGCCTAGGACGGCTCGAAATCTGAGAAGCTGGTCTGTTTGTGTCTGCCTCGAAATCCCAGAGGCCCTGGTTCTTTTTTAATTAAAAAAAATAATTTTTGTTTCAATTTTTAAAAATACAGTTGGTAGGGGTTGTTTTTTTAACGCCCCCATCAACATAATGTTGCTTCAGAACTAGATCTATGTTGTCCAAAGTGTAGGCTACTTAACTTCAGAGTGTGTTTTTGGACAAAATAGTTCTCAGGCGACTACAAATTAGAACATTTATTTAGTCCAACCTGGGATGGCTGAGAGGGATGATACAACACAATATCTCAGGAGAAAGATCGGGATACCCGATTAAAAAAAGTTTCACCTCCACTCCGGAATCGAACTCGAAATTCCTTGAGAGCGACAGCGAAGTGACTAACCGCTACACCAAAATCGCCGGTGGTCCCGGTTCGCATCCCATGCTGCTGTTCCCCAGACATTGACCCGCTCAGAACCTCCATGTAGCCATCATGTCGTGTTGACACTTTGTGTGACCGGCGCGCGGAGGTGCACTGGCTGTACTCCGGCCTCAGTCTGTCTGTGTATACATACGCGATTGAACTATTCGCGGACTACATTTTTATAATGCTTATGGATGCGTATGTACGATTAATTGTCCGAATTGTTTTTTTTTCTTTTTATTGAAGACAAATTTGCTTTTCTAGTGCCAGTAAATAAGACAAAGCCTATACTTTTCCCCCCTTTTGTGACCCCCCCCTCCTCCTCCACCCCCCCTCTTT